AGGGAAAGAAAGAAAGAGGAGAATGGTAAATGGAGGGAAAATGCGACCTCAGAATCAGATTGTGGTTCATTACAGGTTGCTCAAATTTTGACAAGACCTTTTTGTGTGGATAGAGCATACTGTAAATATGTGTCTCACCACAGCTTTCACAGACACCTGTAAGAGTGCTCTTCTTGTTCCTCCACTTCTAAAGTATATTAACGTGTTTACCAAAAAGATATCCAGACCTGTTTTAAAATTCCAGTTACCTGGACGTCTTGCCAGGTCCCCTCTCTCCTTGTGTTGAACAAGCCGAAGATTAAGGCTGTGTGTGGTGGGCGCACACAGCACCACATGGTGTGAGGTTGGAGAGTGGATACTGGGAGCCCTCACACAAGATGTGGCTTTTGGAAGGACCATTATTTCTTTCATCCTGAAGACCGGGCAGCATTGAAATGGCCTGGAGAGGAGCAAGCTGTCTGGTTTCCCTTTGTAACATGCAGTTTCGTGAGCGTGGGGATTAGCAGACCCTGATTTCCAACAGCTGCATCTCAGGATGGTTTTCAAACCTAAACTCATGGGTTTTCTGCATTGGGAAGGTGCTTTCTCTGTGGCTTTTCTGATGTGTAGTAATGTGTGGGCTCGCACTTTGAGCAGTCAGACACAGCGCTCTGCTCCCCTTTCTCCAAGGAACTTTCTGCATGAAACTTTTGGGAATGCAATTGTCTTTGAGACCTCTACACCTACATAACACGTGCACAGACAAATCCAGATGATGCGCAATCTCCTTAAGCTAAAAAAAAAAAGGTATACATTTGCTTTAGTTGTGCAGCAGAGAACAGCATTTGCTGTTTAAGTGTCTAGACACTCAACTTACATCCCTGGTTTGCTATTGACTTGACAGAAATAGCATTGGGCTCTTGTGAAACACTCCCATTGAATCAGGGTTTTGTGCTTGGCACTTATATTTTTCTCTGTGTCTGTAGAGAAATTATATTCTCTTCTCTGGCAACCTAACAGTTAAATTCAGAATTGTAAACAAGTAGACATTTGTATTTTTATTTCTATTAATACTGCCCCAGTTACAGCACTCTATGTGGTGAGGCAGTTTTTCCACCATAGAAAATTTCCTTGGCTAGGTTTAGGCAAGCATAAACATTTGCTTCTCTGGGATCCATTACTTACCAGTGTTTTTCAATTAATCAGCAGGATGAGTAAAGTTCATATTAAATGCTTCACTTTATGGGTTTGGGGTAGGGAAATAATATATATGTGGGGATGGTAGAAGAAATTGGTCCCGTGCAGCAGGGTTTGATTTAATGTGGAGGGTATCATTGTTGAAGTATTCCAGCTTAATCTTGATTCTCACCATCTTGACAAACTGATGATTTGTTTGTGTGCTAAATTCTGAGTGTCATACTTCACCCTAAAAGAGTAAATCCAATCATGAAGAAAGATGGTTTGCTTTGATCTTAGCAACTCTATTACAAAATCTGTTTTTCTTTTCCTTTTTATGTAGCACTGGTAGACAAGAACTTTTCTTCTTCCCTAGTGCAAGCAGGTGAAAATGTCCTTTCCATTCAAGGAAACAGTGACTCTTATATTGCTGCTGAACTGGGCCCAAGATAGTCAGCCTAGGGATGGGCTGCTTGGTGTGGAAAAATGAGATCCAAGTCCTTCAGCTAACCCTGCAGCCAAATCCTTTCTGAGCAAAGTGCCTAGAGTTCAGTTAATTCCTTATGCTTGGTTTCTTTCATTTACTTTTTATGCTCATCTTCTCCTGGATATTAATTTGCCCAGGAAAGGAAATGCCTGGGGAAAACCTATTCTTCTGGCAGCATTTCTTGTTCCATAAAATCCCAGGGACAGACTTTCCTGAGGGCGTTTTAATCTGGCAACTCAGGTTGCCATTCCCACCTTCCTGTGGTTGGTTTGCGGTCCTTCCTCCTCACTGTCTCCAGGTAGCATCATGCCACCTTCCCACATGGTGTCCAAGACCTCCCTTGAGCAGGGAGTGCTAAGAAATGCCTTGTGCTTTGGCTCCAGTGTTGTCTTTCACTACCAAAAATGGGTTCTGGGACCAGCTTAAAAGGACAAAACTTACCCAAGCAATACCTATCAGGTCTTTTTGTTCTCCTCTTTCAATTCTGGAGCCTGTGGGGTTGGTGTTATCCAAACAAGACCAACCCCTTTGCTTTTTAATGACAGCTGAAACTCTCATGTTGTAATGTAAATAAACTGAGGCATTGAGGAAGAACACCAAGTAGAGGGAGACTCACAAGGAAATCACAAGAATTGGCAGCACCACATCTTCTGGCAATCTCTGTGAGTCACTCAGACTCCGTCAGCAGGGCACTGAGGTCCTTGCTGTCCCATCAACCTGATTTTCAGCTGTTGCAAAGGCCAGTAATAAAAGAAAAATGTAGGGAGAGGCCCATCCCATAGTTCTTTACATGTAGGTGCGTGTGATTTCCAAAGGCGCTGAACTGGAGGCTCCTCAACACCTGCATCACTTGTTAAAATGTAAATGGGTTTTCTAAACCATTTCTGATTTTTATGTAAGACCAGTGCCTTGGCTCCCACTGGGCAGTTGAAGCTGTGCACTTACTGCTTCCTCGCAGACTTCACAGCAACTCATCAGAGGAGGCTATAAAACTTCTCTTTTTTGATATTAGTCTTTATCGAAATAACCAGAGTTTTTGGCAGTACGTGCTGTTTTCTTTAATAAGCTTAAAAAGGTGTTAGACAGTCATAAGAGACTGCCACATTAGTGTCAATTTTGAATTAATGAAAAATTGATGCCTTGCTATTATAAAATACTTTAGGCAATGCTGTTGATTCTTCACCAGTTCAATTAGTCACTATTTTAGTGCAGGCAATAGAAACTATTCCACTTCTGTATACTCTGTTTTTGCATTGAGTGTTCACAGTTGCACTGATACGGATCTCCAAGTTGCGTACCTTGACCTGGTATTGTGTATTCAGTGCCTGTGTAGCTGTTTTTGGTACCAATGCTCCTAAATGTAAAGCAAGCAAGAGCAGGCAGTGAATGGTGCTTTTCCAAGGTAAAACCATACAATCCCAGGGTTATCTGCAGGCTTCAGGGGTGTCAGCACCTCACGCAGTGGGAAGAAGGAAAAGCCTGCAAGACATTTTTCAGCTGATGGTGTCTGTATTTGGATGAAGAGGCCAAATTTTGATCTCTGATGCACATCAATGGGAAATCAAGTGGTTTTGCTGATGCCAGGGAAGCTGCTGCCATTTTCAGGGCCAAAATTGGTCCTAGCATGTCTTACAGAAAGAAAGATATATTTTTGCTTTCTGAAAGTATTTGAAGGTCTTAACTTGGAAACCTCATAGAGAAAATATTTTGCCATGGGAAATTAACTTTATCTGAACAACCAACCAGAAGAGGAGAAGGTGTATTTTGAGTCTCATTTTTAAGGTATTTTGCCCCAGCTTGACAGCTGGGCACAGCAGGACAAAAGCGATATTAAAGAAACCAGAAAGCAAGCTAACCTTTTCTCAGAAACCAAGATTTTCTGTTTCTGCACTTTACATGTTGCTTATCTTCATACTCACTCTCCAGTTGAACAGCAGATCCCCCATGAATTGTAAAAGAACTTATCTTCTCAGTTTCACAATCTACTTGGGAAAGTTGCCATGTAAGCACAAGGAAATCTGACACATCTTTTTAGCATGAAGTGTTAAGCAGCTAAAGTGACAACTGTGTCCATTAAACCATCCAGGCAAGTAGAGGGATCACATTTTTATAACGTCTTAACTAGCTTTTCTTCTCCTACCACATTAAGCTGTCACTGCTTCTCATATTTTAGAGTATCTTTATGACCCACTTTCTTCTCTTAACTATTTTGGTAGATCTTACAAAAAATGATGGAGATGTTGCTAAGGAAGATGGATTTTTCATTCTAGAAAAAAATTCCCTTGTTACTCTCCTTTTCACTCCTATTCACAAGTGTTTTGTCCCTCCAAAGGTAGATACAAGGAAGAAAAGTGATAAAGTTTTCCAAACTCAGCTCAAGTGAGTAAAGGTGTCACCGAGTAAAGGCTGAGGAAGGAAGAGGTCACGCTGTGACATCTCAAGAGCTCTGTGCAGGGCACTGTCTGATGTTTCACCTACCTGGAGCCAGTGGAGCTCAAAGGGGTTTTTCTGTTTCATTCATCTCATTGGGAGTTAAAATCAGCCTGTGGTGGATGACTCTTCTGGGTTTTTTCTAAAGTAATCTGTGGATCTTTATTGCAGTCTTGAAGGGGTAAAAACCTCCCAAGCAGTAGGACTGACATGAGTCAGCATCACAGAAGGGAGGTCAGGAATTTCATGGACAGGGATTGGATTGCCCTCTTCCAATTCATGGGATTTCTGGTCTGAAGGGACCTCACTGTTCACCTGCTCTGATCTCAGCACTTCCCCATCTGAGTGGGGACAAATGAGATTGAAATGTGGTTTATTGTACTGCACGTTACTGACTTTTCAATCATGGTTTGAATGTGAAAGGAAAACACATTTCCCTCCTTGGTTTCACAGATAAAAAAGATCTGTAAAAATAATTTCTTCTTCTTTGATCCATCAAGAATGAGCAAATGGGCTGCTGCTCATTCTGGGATCCATTTTAATCCTCAAGGGTCTGCAGATACCACTCAGAGTAGGTTCTCATCATTAAAGTGCAATGGAGTAAAAGTAGAAATGGACTGAATATCCAGAAAACATTTACAACCACTTTTGGACTACTTCTTTGAAACGAGGCCCAAATTTTTAACTTGAGCATTCAACTTGAGGCTGCTGAATTCAGGGCCGAGGTGAGGGGTATGCAGAGATGGCCTGCCTTTTGGAGGTTCTGAGGAGCTCAAACTCAACACAAGGAGGAGATGCAAGTGTAAAGTCCTTTTCAGCATGTAACTGGGAGCTGGACTGGCTAGAAATCCCAAATAATAAGTCCATATGTAGTCAGGCCACTGAGTTTTAGTCCCCAAAATTTCAGCCTAGTCTGTTACTTGAGAGCGAAGATGTGGATTCCATTAGATGACTGGACCTAATCCAGAGCCCACTGAAATAAGAGTGTTCTGTATTTTCAATGGACTAAGCCTGTTTTTAAAGTGCAGTTATTTGAATTCGTAAAAAAGAGTTACTTTGCGATAATTCCTTGATTACCCTTCTCCCTTAAGATTTTGAATACTGAACATTTTTACGGTGCTGTAGAATTCATATCTCACTTCACGGTGTCCCCATGAATGGCTGCAGATGCTATTTTTGTTTTACCTTTTTATTTGAACTGGAAATGTTTCAGTGACTTTCCAAATGTTCTGAGCTCTTCATTGGCAAAAACCATTTGCAGGCAATGATGATCAAATGCACATGTTACGGCCGAGCCTGGCTGGTTTAGTGGATATGTTTGTCATTTTCCTTTCACCCTCAGCTTTATATTCAGGCCAGACGCCCTGAGAATCTGACCTTATCCATCGCCAGAGCAGCATACCATTCCCATCCCTTGCGGTTGCAAGGCGTGAACAGAGGAGCACCATACCAGCAGTACCAGCCCGTTGTCATGCTTGAGCAGGATTACATCATCCGGTGGAATGGCAGAGCACCCGAGGATGTTATCCTGTACCCGATCAACTTCAACAGGTACTGCTCTATGTTGTTAGGACATGCTCTGTTTTCAAAAGGTCTGGAGATTTATCTGTTTCCCAAGTTACTCATGTGTGACCTTTCAAATGTCTCAGCAACACAGAAGCAAGGTGTTAATGGCTGGCGCTTACTGATGCAGAGAGATGCCTTTGCTTTCGCTTCATTCGAGCTTTTTTAATGTGCAGAGATGTTTCTCTTTCCAGAAAGTTTTGAAACTGAATCCAAATAAGTCCTGGCCTGCTGTCCCTGAAATCTCTCCAGAAGAGCTCTGGCTCTTGTGCATTTGTTTGTACTAGTTGCTGCACACATAATTTATCTCCCATATATATAAAGTGCAGAAATACAGCAGTATGTGCACAGAGCTTTGCATCTTCTGTAATCCAAATAGCACTAGAGTCACTGTTTCTCTTTAATAAGTTTTAAAACATAGGACACAGTACAGAAAGATTGTAGGTGTTTTCTTCTAGTGTTACATCAAGGCAGGGTATATCCATTTGAAATACTACTTTTTTCCCTTGCAATGTTTCATTTTGTATAATTTCAGTTTAAGATTTTTAGTACTGTTCCTTCATGCAATTACTTGTGCTTGTTGTACTGGTACAACCATTACGAGAGTCCTGCAGCGCAGTCAGTTTAACTGTGACAGACATGCCCATGGTTTGCACAGATGAGATGCTGCAAGAGATGAGCACCACAAAAAAAAAACAACCCTGGTCATCACTTTGAGTTCTGCAGTTTATGGGGCTCCTCAGTTATTGATAAAAAACACAATACAATAAAAAGGATAGAGGTATGCAAATGAAATCTTCCACAGTTACACACAATCCAGCCACACACAGCCCAGGTTTGCAAAGCAGGTTTTAGCTAGTTGACATGAGGAAAGTCTGAGGCACCAAGGGCATGAAGCAGCACGTACCACTGGTACCATCCAGTATTATCTACCAAACCCCACACCCATCCTCTGCTCCTCCAGCAGAGTGTTACTGCTGTGGTTTTAGCTTATGGTAGTTTTGGCAAAAGCTTGAGCTGTGTTTGGTTCACCTGAACTTTGAGGCTGAAGAAATTTGGGGAAAAATACTGTCCTTAGTTACCATTATGAAGCCCTGTGAAAATGTAGCTAAGAGGGGTAATATTTCCTCTTCATCCATGCCCATTACAGCCAGTGACATATACCTGGTCCTCCCGATTTAAAGATGTAGTAGCTGTAGGGCCATGACCAAGTCGCTGGAGGATCAGTGTTTGGACACTCCTGTCACAGAGGAATTATTAGAATTAAATCACTGTTTTCTATATTAATAGAACTTTGTGCACTTTAAGGAAGAGGAAACCCATTAGTCACTCGGGGACAAGCTGAACTTCGCAATTATTATCTGTCTTAAAATGATTAGCTATTTCCTTGCAATTGCAGGGCTAAGTCTTCTGCCAGGCACGTGGTGGTTACTCTGTCACTGTGCCAATTAATACTTGCCAAAGCTTTGGCCTCTGGTCCTCAAGCACAGATTCAAATCTGAAGGCAGCACTGGGTCTTTGGTAAAACTTGGCTTGAAGTTTAGCTCTTGTTCAAGCAGCAACTTCGCTCCATTTTACTACTGAAAACCACAACGTGGTTGCGGTTCTCTTTGTCTGGTGTGAAAGCAGTTATTTGAACAGGGCAAAGGTTTGTAGATTTTTCTGATCCAGAAACAGTTGGCAAGGTATGTGTTTAGAGGAAACAAGAAATATACTGTAACGAAGGAAAACCACAACTTTACTTCATTTCATTTGGAGTGTCTTGCTAAGAAATAATTGGGAATGAAATGCGTGGCTGCTCTGTGTACACCTCAAGTATGCTGGGTGCTAACTAATGCGAGACTGACGGCTGATGCAATGGCAATAGAGAAACATCCAGACTGCGTGAAAAAACATGGAGAAATGAGATTCCCATGGAACAGTAAAGGAATTGAAGTGAAAAAGAAGATTTAAGAGTTTGAAGGAAAACAAGTGCCTGTGTAAGCAGTTCAGCGTATGACCTTTATTAAACATTGCATTCCAGTCATTTCTGGAGTGGAAGTAATCTCCGATCGTGGAGCCCAGAGTAATCAAAGTTAGAAAATTGGGGAAGACTTTTACCTGTGTCAAGTGGCTTTATGTTTTGTTTGTTCTTTTTTGATCCAAAATACTGAACAAACTGCCCAAAAATGAGCTTTTAAAATAGCAGTATCTGTGCAGAATATGTGATGCAAGCCAAAAAAATGTTTGATGAACTTTAGTAGCACTATTCTAGGATTAATAATTTCAGACCTAACCTGAGTGAACAATTATACTATTTTTAGTTGTGTCATTGTAAAATGATGGATAGATATATCCGGGATGCTGCCTTTGCAGCTGGACAGCCCTCGTGCTTCTGGAGCGATTTTCTCTGCGCTGGCTGAAGGAAGGTCAGAGGGGAAATAAGGAATTTGACAGGGAGATGTGTAGCAGGATTGGGCTTTCTGTGGAGGTCAGGCATAGCAACACTTGCACGATTAACTCTTTTCCTGCCTCTGAAGTGTTGTAGAAAGACCCAGTAGAAGTCATGCCAGTTCAGACGTCCTGTAAAAGACAGGAATGTCCGGATATTCCTGGGGCGGGCAGGAGCCGGCTGGGATGAATTCACACGACTCAGCTGAAATTGGCAGTGCTGCTTTTTGCGAGCTGCGAATCTTGTCCAGTGAGTTCAGAGACACCGCTTGGGTGGATTTACTCAGCAGAGGAGGACACCAGTTAGGGCACTGCCACCGAGCAGATCTTTTTCCTTCTACTGTGAGCACTTGAAGGGTTGCTCTGGTGCCTGTGTCTTCCTCACACTGATTCAAACCATGTTTAGAGAAATTCTTCAGTTTCTTCACTTCCAAAAAAATATGTAGCTAAAATAAACAAAATTACTGTGTCTCCATATGCTGCCATCTGCGGCCATGTGGTGCAAACACAGATGCCAACTTCCCTCGTGATGAGAGATGTACTTGTTTGCATGAGGCAGGAGAGCTGTGTCACTGACTGACTGATGGGCAAATATAAATCCAGGGCTGAGACCCGCGGGCTGTGTTTGCAGGCTGCTGGGGAACATAGCTGTCTCAGCAGAAATGCCTTTTTAAGCTATACATAGGGTTGGCTGTCTCATGGCTGGGAGTTTCCCTGTGAGGATGAGAAGGCGGCTGGGTATTGATGGCAAGAGGCACTGCAGGACAAGTAACTGCTGAATGGTTTGGCAAGTGAACATAAGG